CCCCCCTCCCTCGCCTCCCCGCCTCCTCCTCCTCTCCTCCTCCTCCCTCCCCCCCTCCCCCTTTCCTTCTCTCCTCCTCCTCCCCCTCCTCCTCCTTCTCCTCCTCCCTCTCCTCCTCCTCCTCTTCCTCCCCCTCCTCCCCCGGCCTCCCTCCAAGCCTGGCACTTGCCACTGTGTGTAGAGAGGGAGGGAGGGGCCTGCTGCCCAGCAAGGACTGGCAGTTTCCCAGTGGTCCAGATCCCCCAGGGGAGGATGGTGGCCCATGTCCTGGTATTGATGGTTTGAGGGGCACAGCACCTGCCTGTACCCATAAGACCATAGAGGGGCTACAGATGGCAGCGCCATAACAAGGAGTCATATACCTCCAGGATCCGCCTCTGAGCTCCTGGTACATGTCGATGGATAGCCCTGTGGCTGCTGACTGACGGCTTCTACCCACACACACTCTTCAGGGGGAAACTGGTGAGGGAAAGCCTTGCTCAGGGTCCGAACATGATGGGGCAGGTGACTCAAGGCAGGGTGTTCTCTGGGAAGTGGGCTACCTTCCACTTCCCCCGGGTTCTGCTCTTATCTCTGGAGTTTTCTGGATTTTTCATTTTTCTCCATCAGACTCACAGCATAACCCAAACTCTTGTCAGCTGTGGTTTCGGGGAAAGCAAGACTGCCTGAGGGGGCCTGGCACCTGAGGGGGCCTGGCACCTGGGTATGTGTGAGATGAGCTTCTCTCTGGCAGGACAGTGCTGAGATTATGGCCCATCTCTGAGGCATGACCTTCCCCATGATCCCTCTGTTGTTCCAGCCTATGGTCTGGCTGGGCTAGAGTGACATAACGGGCCATCCTAGAGCATTGGTTTCCCTGTCCCCAGGTCTCTCGCCTTGCTCTGTCAGGCCTCCGCAACTGGACAACTGCAGCCTCACCAACTGCAGAGTTTGCTGCCCGCCACTTCCGGGCCTTCCTGCCCCCTCCAGGTCAGGAGCTGGGCCAGCCCTGGTGGATTATCCCTGGTGAGCTGAGTGTCTTCACAGGCTATCTGTCCAACAACCGCTTCTACCCACCGCCGCCCAAGGACAAGGAGGTAAGGACAGCACAAGGAGATACAGGCTGCACCTGGCCCCAGGTCAGGAGCCGCCCTTCCTATCTGAACCCCAGTACCATGTATCTCCCCCTCTGGGCCTCGGCTTACAGATCTAGGCCCCGGGGTCCAACAGACCCGCCAGGGTCTTACTGCTGTCCCTAGGTCATCATCCACCGGCTTCTGAGCATGTTTCATCCACGCCCCTTCGTGAAGACCCGCTTTGCCCCTCAGGGCACCGTGGCCTGCCTAACTGCCATCAGCGACTCCTACTACACTGTGATGTTCCGGTGAGTGTCACCAGGCTTGGAAGGGTAGGAGAAGGCCTAGCCATTGACCCCCAGCTTTACCGCCTCCACCTAGTAGGCTCAGGCTCTCTGAGCCCTGGTTTCCTCCTCAGTGGGTCAGGGGAGTAATGACTTCCTCAGAGGGCATACGATTGGTGAAAGATGTCTGAGACTTGCTTAGTCCTGAACTGGAACTGGCTGGTGGCCAGGGTGGTATCATCCACACAGAGGGTGGATATGGGACACACACACATAAACACGCGTGCACATGCACATACACGGACACACACACATAAACACGCGTGCACCCATCCTGGAGAAGCATGTTGAGGGGAGAGGGTTAGGACAAGGCTTCCAAGGAAGGCAGCACAGACACTGAGCCTTCGAGGGTAGTGGCATTTGAAGTGTGACCTACTTTCTTCCTGCCCCTGACCCCACAGGAGTTTGGCCAAGGCTCCATAGGCTCTGGGGGATTTGGGGGAGGGATCCAAGCTTAGCAACCCCCATTTCTCACAGGATCCACGCTGAGTTCCAGCTCAGTGAGCCACCTGATTTCCCCTTCTGGTTCTCTCCGGGCCAGTTCACTGGCCATATCATCCTGTCCAAAGATGCTACACACATTCGTGACTTCCGGCTTTTCGTGCCCAATCACAGGTAGGAACTGCCCCCCTCCCCCGCCCCACACAGCCTCAGCACCCTGCTACTGCTTTCTGCTGCTGCAACTGTTATCTTGTTCCCTGACCTCCGACAGCAAGGAGCCCAGAGACCCTTCAGTCTCTGCCATTTCCCTTGCTCTCCGGCACTACCACTTGGGGGTGGGAGGCACTTGTTGCTGACGAAGAAGAGGCAGCGTGAGGTAGCTAAGTGGTCCCCTATCTACTCATTAACATCTCCAAGCACTCTCTCCACCTCTCTGGGAAGCTAGCAGTTTGCCCATCGAGGCCCTAGAGCCCAACAAGCCACCTAAGGTCTTCACTGTCCCATAGTCGCCAGTAGGCCCTCCTGAAGCTGCTATATCTTATCCTCCTAAGACAGCCCAGCCTGGCTTACTTGTGCCACTGAGGGGAAAGTCAGTGGCTGGGCAGTGCCCAAGGGAGTCCAGGAAGGCTTCCCAGAGAGGTGACATCTAGTTCAGGCCCTTGGGGAGTGCAGGAAGTGGCATGTGTAAAGCTTGAGGGAAGGCGGTCACCACAGAGTCTTGATGGGACATCTGCCAGCTATTTGCCACATCAGCAGATCGGGGGACTCGGGGGCTGGGGTGAAGTGGCAGGGGTGTGTGTGGCTTCAGTAGCGCCTTCCCAGATAGAAGCAAGCTTTTAGCAGGCCCGTGAATACCTGTGCAAGGCTGAGACCTGAGCTAGGAGTCCTGAGGCTCCAATTCAAAACTTGCTTTTGGTAGCAGTGGGCTGTGTGGCTGTGGGCAAGGCTCTGACCTCCCTGGGCCCCAGTTTCCCCACCTTCCAGATAGAAGACTGACTCCTGGCATGTTTTACCCCTGGAGCTTGGGGTAACCATGGTTGGGAGAGCCTGAACCCACTGTGAGAGAGAGGCAGGCCAGAGACACAGTAGTATACCTGCCCTCGTGAGTTTTGCCCAGTGGGTCAGTGGCTGGCCTCAGTGTACCTGTTTCGATGTCCCGGACTGAATAACACAGGAGGTATATGACCAGACAGGGTCTATTCCTTCTGGGGCTGTGTTTAAGAACCAGGCCTCAGGGACACAGTGAGGGTATTCAGTCACTTGCACAGAGACTATTGCTTGGCCATGGTCCTGGGGCTCCCCCGTGTGGCAGACCTCCAGATTGCACCGACCAAGCTAGACTGTTGTCCTCTGCAGGCAAGATCCAGCCTGGGAGGTTCTTCCAGGGACATCAACACCAACATAGTTCTAATTGCTGCCTTATCCTGTGTCCTGAAGCGAGGCACTGGCCACCTCTCTGCGCATAGGGTCATGAGCAGTATATGGGTCATGTTATGAAAGACCTTGTGAACTGTCTAGGCCTAACCCAGGCTCTGCTGTCAAAATTCCAGTGACATCTATGGAGTCTCGATGTCTCCCTCTGTTAATAGGACAACTGCTTGCATGAAATTAGGTGGCACCAACTGGACAGTGGTGGCGCAACCTTTAATCCCAGTACTCAGGAGGCAGAGGCAGGTGGGTCTCTGTGAATCCGAGTCCATCCTGGTCTCCAGAGCGAGTTCCAGGACAGCCTCCAAAGCCACAGAAAAAACCTGTGTCTGGGAGAAAAAAAAAAAAAAAGATGGCACCTGATGTGTGATTAATGGCTTTGATGGTGATGTTTTTTACCCTGGCCATGGTCAGGTCCCTGAATGTTGACATGGAGTGGCTGTATGGGGCCAGTGAGACCAGCAACATGGAGGTGGACATCGGCTACATACCCCAGGTGAACACTCAGGGGCCCCACCCAGATATATGCAGCTGCAAGGCCTCGCCCTGAGCCCCATCTCCCCACTTCTGCCAAGTAGACCATCCCTGAAGGTTTCTCAGAGCCCCTCTTTGAGACACCCCTCACCACTGACTTCCGGCCCAGATGGAGCTGGAAGCCATGGGCCCCTCAGTGCCCTCTGTGATCCTGGATGAGGATGGCAACATGATTGACAGCCGCCTGCCCTCAGGAGAACCCCTCCAGTTTGTGTTTGAGGAGATCAAATGGCACCAGGAGCTGAGCTGGGAGGAAGCTGCCAGGCGCCTAGAGGTGGCCATGTACCCTTTCAAGAAGGTGAGACTGGGCATGAAGGCCAGGAAGAGGCTCCATGAGGCCAAGGCTGGGAGCTGTGGTCTAGCTATGGGTACCGTGCTGGACCCTTGGGGTTCAGGGCCAGTGTGGGAGTGAGGCTACTCTCTCCTACTCTAAACTTGGAGAAGGGTCATGTGTTTCAGCCATGCCCCTACACACACACACACACACACACACACACACACACACACAGGCACGCATGCACACACACTCGCACGCACGCACGTACGCACACTCACACGCACACGCACACACACACACACACGCACATGGATAAATATGTGCTTCACATGTACAACCCCAAATAGGAGCCCAGCCACTGAGTGGTTTCTGTCTTGGTTTGACCACAGGTCAGCTACCTGCCATTCACGGAAGCCTTTGACAGGGCCAAGGCGGAGAACAAACTTGTGCATTCCATCTTGCTGTGGGGGGCCCTGGATGACCAGTCCTGCTGAGGTGAGGGAACTCCCCGGTCAGTTCTAAGGGAAAGCAGGGAACTTCGTACCCTATGGAATTGGGCACAAGGGGCTCTGGGACAACCAGGACTGGAGCCATGAGGACCTGGGCCACCTAGGACTGGATCCCAGAGGAGGTTTGCTGTGCTTGGGCTGAGCCTAAGTGATTATGCCAAGTTTAAAAGAAAAGGCCAAGCAGATGTGTTTATTTTTGGCCATTTTAGTTCAGTGACCTTGACCAAGCAACATCCCCTCCGAACCGGCTCTCTCCACAGTGAAATGGGCAGAGTGTACTGACTCCCGAGCCATGACGTTGGGTGTCAATGTGTCTTGTACTCTTTACTGTAAAGTAAAATCTCTGAATGAGAGAGGAAGCAGTGCCAGAAGCTGGGCTTGGGTTTCTTATCCAGAATATTCACCTTCTGGAAAGTTCTCTGGCACTTTAATTGCTGCCTCTGTCTGTCTTTGAACTAAATGTCCAACAGTTAGTTCAAAGTAGATTAACAGAAGCGAAGTGGGGGCGGGGGCGGGGGCGGTTGGAAAGCTTCTTGGAGAAAGTGACTTTTAAACTGAGACTCTGAGAGATGAGTAGAGGAGAGTTTGGGGTAGAGCATGCCTGTGTAAAGGCCCTGGAGATAGAGAACTAAGTGGGATTGAGAAGCTGTCATTGTTAACAAGCTCCCGGCCAGCCCACGATGCCAGTACGTTCATGTTGATCCCACTGCCGCCTTCATTTAGCATCTACTCCTGGGGGGGGTGGGGGGGTGTCTGTTCTTAGCTTTTTAACTGTGTCACTTCTTGAGACAAGGTCTTGCTCAGTAGCCCAAGTTAGCCTATAACTCACTCATCATGTAGCCCAGGCTGGCCTTCAAGTCATAGTAATCCTCCTGCCTCAGCCTCCTAGGTGCTAGGATACAGGTGTGTGCCAACCTATTATTTCACCTGGGTGCAGAGACATTCTGCAGCCCACGGGGTTTACCCAAACTGAGATCATTGCTGTAAAATCGGGGCTGCTCACCTGTGGCCTTGGCCTTGCCCTGAACAGGTTCGGGGCGGACTCTCCGGGAGACCGTCCTGGAAAGCCCGCCCATCCTCACGCTCCTCAATGAGAGCTTCATCAGTACCTGGTCCCTGGTAAAGGAACTGGAAGACCTACAGGTGAGCAGGGGGTCGGGGAGAGCAGCCTGTGGAGTGCCCCAGGATGGCACTAGGGCGGGTACCAGGAAATATCATTGTCCCCACAGAGCCAGCAGGAGAACGCGCTCCACAGACAGCTGGCAGGCTTGCATCTGGAGAAGTACAGCTTCCCTGTGGAAATGATGGTCTGTCTGCCCATCAGGACTGTGGTGGGTCCTGGGGGACAGGGGGGGTGGGAAGGGATACAGAAAAGCACACAGTGGAGCAACAGAGCCAGCATGTCCCAAAGGGAACCTCATCAGTTCAGCAGACAAAACATGGCCCAAGGGAAGGCAGCCTGGACACTAGCCAGGGAAGGAGGGTGGAGAGGAATAGAGGGCCTGGCCTGAGCCAATGTTCCAGATCCCCCTCTCCCTGCGGGCTGCTTAGAGGGCTTGGCATCAGGTCGCAGCAGCTTTGGAAAACATGCCCATTTTCAGACTAGTAAAGCCAGACTGCAGAGCAGCTGCCCTTCTTCAATATCAATGTGGCCAGAGTGGAAACACGGGGCTACAGGAGGGTGGTAAGCTGGCCAGCCTGTAGGGGGCGGTAGCCAGGAGCAGGAGCTGGGGCTGGACAGAGGGGAAAGGGCGGTGTGCTTAAGGCTTCTGCTGGCCCAGGCTCAAGTGAGAAAAGCCCCTGGAAGTGTTGGGGAGCCAGGGAGTGAAGGCCTGGGGGGACAGTCAGGTGGCTCATGTGTGTTACAGGCTCCTACCCTGAGGTCCTAAAGACAAGGAGACAGGGTTTTGGAGAGACTCTGACTGGCCTTCATCTCACACTGCCATTGCTTAGTTTCCTCATCCATTCCTCACACATTTGCTTGTTCCCTGTATACCCACCCACCAAGCTCTGCAGAAAGGCAAGGACACGATGGCATTCTGGCTAGAGTAGAGAGAATCTAAGAAATCACACTGAGCACTGGGCATTGGGATAGGTGTTCAGGGGTCATGAGAACAGAAGGAAGGCCATTTGTAAGGTATAGTAGAAGAAAAAGATGATATTGAAGGTGGGTTTCTTGCTTAGTGAGTAAGGCAGGGAGGCATTCCCTCAGTAGAGGCCTACATGGGAGCTGAGGAAGAAGGGAACAGCCTGGCCTGGGCAGCTCTAGCCAGTGTGATCAGTGCTAGCTGTCTGATCTCAGCTGAGTGAAGCTGATGGAGCCTGAGATGGCCAGGGCACACATGGCCTTTGGCCTCCCCAGTTCTCCTCACCCGGCCCTTCCCCCAGGTCCACCACATCAACGCCAACTACTTCCTGGACATCACCTCCATGAAGCCTGAAGACCTGGACAACAAAGTATTCAGCTTCTCCTCGACCTTTGAGGACCCGTCCACAGCCACCTACATGCAGTTCCTGAGGGAGGGACTCCGGCGTGGCCTGCCCCTCCTGGAGCCCTAGTGTGCTTAGTCCTAGAGAAACTGGACCTGGTGAGACAGGCAGACAGGTTCCACACGTCCTGGAGCCATAGTGCCCTCTGTCCATTTCGCTCTGGAAATGGTCCCCACCTCATTCCCAGGCTTCCTAGAGAGCTCCAAGGCCAACTGAGGCTGCTCCCCTCACCTGGCCTGAATGATGGTGGTAGATGAAGGGGCCCGGATGAGCGTGTAAGTGAGCCAAAGGCCTGTTACCACTATCAGCTCAAGTCCCCCCATACATTCTGGGGTGATCTCTGTGGACCTTCCCACACAGTGACAGAGTTCAGGGCCTCAGTGTGAAGAATAAGGAATAGGCTGGAAAGACAGACTCCCCTTCTTTCTTGGTGTCCCCTCTCACGCCAAAGGAATCTAAGAGCTTGGGCCTGGGGGCCAGGCTGCCAGCCCCATGCCTGTTTGGAGCCTTCAATCCTGACCATCCCCCAGGCAGCTTTCTGTGGCCAGTGCCCCCAGCTTGGGGGTCAATGTCAGCTGGAAGACAGCAGTGGGGAGCCTTGCACAGAATCCTTCTACAGACGTGGAGACTATATTGTCCCACTGGCACCCTCCAGAGCACTTCATGGACCTGATGGCCCGAGCCCAGCCCTGTTTGGGAAGTTGCAGTTCACTGTGAAGTAGGATTCTGGGGGGGGGGGGGCCCCTACTGCCTGCCCCAGCATAGG